AGTAAGCAAAAACGGCAAGCGGAGAATATGGTCCTCAAGGTTTCTTTCACACAATCCCCTCAAGGCTGGAGATGGCTCAGCGGCTACAAGCGCCAGCTGCTCTTACAGAGGTCACAAGTGTGGTTCTGAGCGCACAAATCAGTGAATCACAACTGCCTGTAACTTCAGCTCTGGGGGATCGAGCACCCTCTTCTGGCTTCTGCAGGTACACACACATACACACACACACACACACACACACACACGCACATGTACATACACATACATGTAGGGGGAGGCTTTGCCGGGACTGGCTGTGGTTGTGTACCACTTTGGTTCTCAGCACCCACACTGTGTGTTTCACAACTTAAAATCCTTTAATTCCGGCTCCAGGGGATTGGTGCCCTTTCCTGGTCTCCACAGGCCCTGATATGCACTTTTACACACGTGTGCCAGACACTCACACAGACACATACACATTAAAAAAAAATTCTTTAAATGGGAAGGAAGAGGGGTGGAGGGAAGAAGGTTGGTGCGCCTTTTGGGGGGGGTTTGGGGGGGTGCTGGGGCCTAAGGCTCGACAAACGATCTTACCTCATCATATCCCAAGATTGCTGCATAGAAATTGCTTGTCATGAGGGCCATGTTCTTCTTTAGGAGATAGGAATTAACCTACAAAAACAAAGGTAAGAAAGTAAGGAAAAGCATGATGTCCTTAGCTGTCACAGTTATGAAAGAGAAAGGGACTCAGTTTAAGCGGCCAGTCTATTTCCAAGTCCCCGGCTGTCAGGATTTTCCACAATGAAACTGTCACTTCGTTCAGGTTTTGATTCAAAACTACATTCATTTTAATGACTCAACCTTCAACTACACGAGTGCTTTGCATTAGTGCTGATCAGCACAAAAGATCAGAAACAGTCTGGGTACTGGACCACACAGCCCAGCATAGAAAAACAGGCCCACTCCTGTAACCCCTAGCTCGGTGTGTGTGTATGCAAATATGCATGTTCAAGTTCAAGGTCATAATAAGGTCGTACAGCCTGGACCAAATGCCACCTTGTCCCGAAAACAACAGAAGGGCCACTGAGATGGTTTGGCAGGCAAAGGTGCTTGCTACCAAGTCTGACAACAGAGTTCGAGCCCCAGGACCCACACGATGGAAGGAGAAAAGTGACACCTACAGGTTGTTCTCTGACCTCCATATGCACACACACATCAGTAAGTAAATGTAATTTAAATTATTATTGTCTTATTAATATGTATATGTATGTAAAATACCTGAATGAAGTTACCTATGGGAGGAAAAATTCATTTTGGTTCACAGTTCTAAGAGGACACAGTCCACTGAGCAATGGAAGATGTGGCTGTAGGCAAATGGCGGGGAGTGAGGCTGCTAGTTCACATCTTGGTGGGTCGGGAAGCAGAAAGCTTGGAGCAGAAGTGAGGCCCTACTGTACTCCTCAAAGTCTGGCCCCCTGCAATACTCCCCCTCCAGGTAGCCGCCATTTCAAGGGTTCCACAGCCTAACAGGTCCATCACCTAGAAACTAAGTGTCTAGACACATGAGCCTGTAGGGGGACAGTTTACATTCAAAGTATAACACACAATAAATCAAAGACAGAGTGACTTTTATCCTGGGGTTCATAACTGGTCTCTGGAGGTCAGAAAAGGCAAAAGAGTTTAGGTTTAGACTCAGAAAACCCGGATTCAAGTCCTAACTCTGGTATATATTTTGGATGTGGTCTTGAGCAAGCCAAGCTCTCTGAGGCTGTTTTGTCTTCTTAAATGCCCTGCACACAAGAACTGTTTTCAAGAGCACAGAAGTCCATTTGCATTCATTCATTAAGTTAACAGCATACCCTGGAAGTCTTGGTAAATGGCAGCTAACTCTGCAAACACACGGAACTGTGAGTAAGACCTGCCTTGTTTACACAAAACTAAAACCAAAAGCAGTCCCAGTGCTTTACAGTCATGGACAATGTTCAGCAGTGAAGAGAGAATTGTGAGGTTCGAGGCTGGAAAATATGAGATTGCTGGTAGCTGGGCGTGTAAGCCATGACCTTTCCTCCCCACCTCCAAGCCAGGCCACATTAGCCACTGCTCCTTTGTGCTCTCCCCCTGGGTATACAGTATGGTTGGAGCTGCTTATACATGTCTTTCCCACCAGTCTGGGAGCTACTCAAGCTTGGGTCACAAGAAACAGGACTGAATTATTTTGGCACCCAAACACCTGGTCCCGGACAGGGGCTGAGACAGGCATAACGTAATAAATCCGTGCAAGGTCACCACCCAGGGCTGGGGATGTAGCTTAGGGCTGAGTACTTTCCTAGCATATGCGAGGCCAGGGGTTCAGCACCCCAAACAAACAAACAAAAGCAAAAAAGCAAGGGCCACTCATAGCATGCCCTCTCCAGTGACACAAATTCTTTTGTTTTTGCTAAAGAAGCACCTTCCCTGTTTCTGGAATTCCAGAAATATACACCACTGTATTTCTTCTTACTGCTTCATGCCACGGTGAGACTCAGAACAGGCCAGAGTTAGGAGTTCCTTCTGTCACGTGAGGACAAGAGGTCAGCTAGCCCTCTTAACACACTTGGGTTCTTCCTTACTTAGGGACTAGTTGTTCTTCTAAATGTGCAAGATGACCAGAGCCAAAAAAGCATGCCAGGGGCATCCAACATAAGGCAAGGCACCACTCCTAGGAAAACATTTACCCAAGCTGCTCAGACGGCAGAGTTAGCTTACGTTCCGCATCATGCCAACTAGCGTTGAAGCTGGAAGGGCCTTCGGGGATCACCTGGACCAGTGACCCCCAGGAAATAAATGGTGAAACGAGGCTCGGACACGGAAAGAGACAGACCCAAGGCTACACAGCAAGCTACCATCAGAGCGGGGTTGGAGCGGAGCAAATGGTCCCACTTCACCACCTAAAGGGTATTGCCAAAGATCCCCCAAATAGTATTCTGCAAAGCTTGGTTCTTGTTCTCCAGAGAGGCCCAGATAGGGACAAATGCATCATCTCATGGGAAGATGGCTGGCTGCTGAGTGCCTGGGGAGAGCTCAGTACAGCCAGGAGCTCACTGGTAGCCAGGTTCTACTCCAGTGCCCTCCTGTGAGCTCCCCATCACTTCTACAGAGAGAGGGCAAACTGCCCCAGCTAGGAATGGCTTTCTTATGTCACCACCCAGGCTAGACTAGCTCACGAGAAGGTCTCTTTCTGGGAGCCAGCGCAAGCTTCTCCTGCAGCACAGGGTCACTATGTATATATATGTATATGTGTATGTATATGTATATGTGTGTATATGTATATGTATGTCATGGTGAAATGACAGCACTGAGTCACTAGGCTCACCTCACTAGGTCCTTGATGCTAGAGCGTCCCTTTGCCGAACCCCAATTCTCCTCCACCCCCTTCACTTAAGCGTTTATCTGCTGGTGTGCAGGGTCCCTGTCTCCCCAATGCTGGATCACCCTAGATGGAGCATGTTGCTTATGAATACACGGATCCCCCCACAGAAGATGGTGTTGGGCTGTTTGCTCATTAAAATCTTATCCTTGTCCATAATGCTTTGCTTTTTATGAAAACCCATACATACTGAGCCACCACATGGGAAAGGCTCCTTTATGTCAGTTACTCATAGTTTCCCATTTATTTAAGCTATTAAAATTCATGCAGATATTTTATAAGCCATCAGGATTCGATGACTGCTATTACTGAATGTTTAATAATAAACTAAACAGAAGAAATCAGAGGGTTAAATGATGACTGCAATTCCTGTAATGACTTAATTAAATTTTTATTGAGTACATAAACTATGATGTCACTTCTAGCCAACCATGGCCCTGCTTTCGCAGCATGTCACAGGGTGGGAGCGCGCAATAGGAGGCTAGGCTAAATGAGCAGCAGGTCTCTGCTCAAGTGGGGGAGGGAGCAAGGCTCATGTAACACACTCAATAAATTATCCGTTCATTTTTAAACAAAGTCCATGAGTTATAATATATTTGCCATGCACTTTTTATGACATAATAAAAATGTTACCTTAAGGATTACTTAACACATACTACAAATGTTACAGCAGAGGCAGGCACAAGGGGCAAAGAAAACAAACATGAACAGGCCAGGGACGGGTCCCGGAGTTTATGTCCCGGGGGAACAGCACAGTATATTAAAAGGGGAATGCAAAAAACAGGGGGTGCAAGTGTTCAGGGTTACTAATCAGCAGGTTAATGAATGAGACAGCCGACGGGAGCACGGGCAAGAAGGGATCTCACGGGCACATGCTTAATTAATGGGAGTATTCTCAGGAAGAGATGTGAGCTGCAGAGATGGCAGTTCATCTGAGGCCAGTTCTCTGCCCCGTCCCCTTCTCACTGCTGCAGCCCTTAAAGATGTTTACGCTTAACAGAGGACGAGACTGTGGTGCAGAGACTGAACGAGACCTCGGTTTAGCCTCCTGAGCACTGGAAGGGACTTCAGGATATTTTTCCTAGGTTATTTTTTTGACCTCACTCCCTTTGGTCTTCCCACGTTCATTTTAGGCCTTGATCGGAGTCAACCTTGCCACTTCTACGGCTGTGTCGTGCTCCCTTGTTCTTAGCCACACGAGCAGAAGTCCTTTTTGTCTTTACTAGTGGAAGGGATGCTGGTCCCTTCTCATCTTTAAAGATCTTGCCTCCAAAATACTTCTCCCCAATCTACAGGTACCATGAATGATTCAAGGTTGAGAACAGGTCACATAATTAGTTATGTGTGCCACCAGCTTTATGCATATCAGCCCAATTCATGCTTCTTGATGAACTCTGAGAGGGGACCATTTTATCTCCATTTTTATTTTTATTTTTTTAATATTTATTTATTTATTTATTTATTTATTATGTATACAATATTCTGTCTGTGTGTATGCCTGCAGGCCAGAAGAGGGCACCAGACCCTGTTACCTCCATTTTTATTTTTATTTTTTTAATATTTATTTATTTATTTATTTATTTATTAATTATGTATACAATATTCTGTCTGTGTGTATGCCTGCAGGCCAGAAGAGGGCACCAGACCCTGTTACAGATGGCTGTGAGCCACCATGTGGTTGCTGAGAATTGAACTCAGGACCTTTGGAAGAGCAGGCAATGCTCTTAACCTCTGAGCCATCTCTCCAGCCCTTATCTCCATTTTTAAAATTCCAGTTTTGCTTATTGAGATCTCAATATTTAAATCTAACTGGATAATGTATGAAAAGCAAGGTACATGGTTGGCAATGAGAACCGCAAAACCAGCAGCCTTAATTCCTGAATGGTCACACAGCAGACATTTCCCTAGGGTTGCTAAGAAGTAAATCAAGCAAGAAAAGACGCGAGGTATGGCGGCACATGCTTTGTAATCCCAGTTCCTCGGAGGCGTTGGATTGCAGTTCGTTTGACAAGCTGCAAGCGTGGTCCCAAGAGAGGTGTCATCGCTGGCTTGGTAAAGTCTGTGTTAACAATGGCCCTGCAGGGCAGAGCTCAAAAGGAATTGACCGGGAAGGTTTCCGTTTAAAATCTGTGCTGATAATGATTGATGGGAAAGGATTTCTACACATTACATTTAGTTTGAGGATTTCTTCATGTTTAGGTCTTCTCTGTACCTTAAAGTCAGAACTCTGTCCACTCGTGGCTCCTCCAACCTAACTGACGCTGTTGCATGAAGAATCAGACAAACAAAGCAAAGGTTGTTTGCTTCTGGACTCCGGATGTAGGGGTAAAATGGAACCAGCTCAAAATTGGTGGAGAAATTGTCACAAGAACAAGACAAGATTTGACAAGGTCAAAGCAGGGTCATTTGCCAAAATAAATAAGTAATGGAAGGAAAAGTTTGAGTGAGCAGAAACCAGAGTCGGGGCAAATCTCTGATCATAGAATAGCAAGCCAGAAATATGAATGAGGACGGTGGTGCAGGCCTGTAACCCAAGTGATGTTGACACAAGAAGCTGAGGCGGAGGATCACTAGTTCAAGGGCTGCCTGTGCTACAGAGTGAGTTCAAGACCAGCCTGAGCAACTTTACTCTCTGTCTCCAAATAAAACACAGGCCAGGACAGTAGCACAGTAGGGCTCTGGGTTCAATATTCAGAACCACAAAAAAGAAAAAAACTAAACTCACGTTGGATGGTTAATCTTCGTGTCACTTGCCTGGATTTATAATCATCTTGTAATTTCTGGGTAAGTTGAACTAAGGAGAGAAGACCCTTCTTGAACGTGTGTGTGCAGGTCCTGAATGTGCATGTGCATATGTGTACACTTGCATGGTTGAGGTGTGTGTGTACGCACGTGCACACATGCCATACCCTGGGCTGGGGTCCAGGACCACAGGAAGGAGAAAGCAAGCCAAGCGCCACACACACCATCTTTTCCTAATTGCAGGTGCATAGACTGGCTCCGGCTGCCGTGCCTTCTTCACCTTTTTTACTAAGTTGCTTTGGTTGGGTATTCTCACAGCAAAAAATGAAAGCAGCTAATACACTCCCAAACCCAGAAATATGGCAACATAACCATAATTAGACAAATTTCTAAGAAAGCTACTATTACTCGAGTCAGACGGACGACTCAGTGAATAAGAGCCTGGCCCTGGCAGGTCCTTTGGAGGACCTGGGTCTGAGTCTAGCTCATACTGTTAACGCCAATCTCAGGGGATGTGGTGCTCTCTTCTGTACTCCAAAGGCATCAAGAACGCACAAATACACATGCAGGCAAAATACCCAAACACATGAAATATTATTAAAATAATTATTATAAAAGAAAAAAGTTTTATTATCAGGTAAAGATATACTTTTAGGGTTTTAGCAAGCTTTTTTTCTAGCTTATCATACTTAAAAATGAATTTTATGGAAAAACCAGAGAAATATCAGTGACAAACAGATGCAGTGACAAAAGCTAAAACTGACAACTGGCTAGGGCAGGGTAATGTGAGCAACAGAATCACTCGGCAGTTATTTCACAGACTTTCAGGGATGCTCCTTCATCATCCTATCTGAGGTGATGCTCTCTCTTGCTCACCTTTCCTTAGGTCCAAGGATCTACTTTGCTTTCAAAGATGAAATACTGCAGATCCTGGAACCCTGGCCCCCCTTCAGGGATAGGCACACAGGCCAAGCGAATTTATCAAATTCTTGTTTCTAGGAACAAAAATAAAACTCTGCTATCGTTCATTGACCCGAATGCTGCATAAGCTCCTGTCACAAGGCCCCTTGGCTGCACGGAGTCTTTCCTTCCTGGGGTCTGTTGTTAGAACCCCAATGTCACCTTCCAGGGAATTCGCTTAAACGAGCCGAGGCTGGCGCTCAGTTGCTCATAATCTACTAGCATCATTTACCAACTCATTAAAACCAGGTGACTGGGCCGGGTTGGTGGTGGCTCACGCCTTTAATCCCAGCAGTCGGGAGGCAGAGAGGCAGGTGGGTCTCTGTGAATCTGAGGTCAGCCTGGTCTACAAAGCAAGTTCCATGACAGGCTGGAACTCAGAGTTATATACAGAGAAACCCTGTCTCGAACCCCCCCCCCCAAAAAAAAAACCAAACCAAACCAAACCAAACAAACAAACAAATCAGATGACGGGGCATTTGTTGTCTCCTCCATCGCTGGCACTTGCTGGAGCGGCACCAGGAGCTCTCTCCACTATCAGCCACTCACGCACACAAAAAAGCCTGGAACTCTGGGAGGGCGCTACCAGGCTTTCACCTTTGCCTGCTCTCCAACAGAGAGAGCCACGAAAATGGCGGGAAGCTTCGCAAGCAGTGCTGGTTCATTCTTTCAGGTTTAGGAGAGAGTCTGTGCCCTGCTCACAAGCACGAGTGGAGAAACGTCTTGGGCAGGCTTTGGGGTTCCGTTTACCGAGGATCACTATTCACAGTGATCAAGGTAGAACCGGTAATGAGCAAGACAACGACCTGAAGAGGAAGCAACAAATGACTCCATTCCCTTCTATACGGATGGCTAGAATTCAAAATACAAAGAAAGGTGAGTAGGGACCCTCACAAGAGAGTGTGAATTGCTGCAACCACTGTGGAGAAGAGTTTGAGTCTCTCTAAAGGTTAAATATTGAACTACAGTGTGACCCAGCAAGTAAATCTACAAAGGAATGCAAACATGGACTGAACACACTTAAAATACCACATAAAATACGGCAATGGTGGTGTGGGGGCCGAGGGCTTCGGAGATGTGCCGTTCACCACACTGTACTTCCGAGTGTGTGCAGGCATGCGCAGACAGGAAGGGTGGGCGTGCAGGGCCACAGAGAGGAGAGCAAGGACAGTGTTTTCAAAGCAAAGTAGACCAGGCTGGCCTCAAACTCAGTGAACCTCCTGTCTGCCGGGCTTAGTGTTGTTGTTGTTTTGTTTTCTGAGACAGGGTTTCTCTGTGTAACCCTGGCTGTCCTGGAACTTACTCTGTAGACCAGGCCGGCCTCCGACTCACAGAGATCCACCTGCCTCTGCCTCCCACGTACTGGGATTAAAGGTGTGCGCCACCACCACCCAGTGAGGACTGGGGTTTTAAAGGCATGTGGTCACACGTTCACCTTCAGAGTAAAGTCTGTAACAACAATGAATATTGGGGGGCTGATAAGATGGTTCAGAGGGGAAAAGCTCTTGCCACCAAACTGTCATCTGACTTTCACATGTGCCATGATGCCATAATGCATGTGGTATGTGTGTGTGTGCGTGTCTGTGTGCAAACAAAACCTCATAGGGGACAGAAGCAGAAAGGCAAAGTCTTTATTATCTGTAAATGGCCCTGAATGCCACACCAAGACAGGAAGCTGCATGGATACATTTTATTTGTTTGTTTGTTTGTTTATTTATTTATTATGTATACAATATTCTGTCTGTGTGTATGCCTGCAGGCCAGAAGAGGGCACCAGACCCCATTACAGATGGTTGTGAGCCACCATGTGGTTGCTGGGAATTGAACTAAGGACCTTCGGAAGAGGAGGCAATGCTTTTAACCTCTGAGCCATCTCTCCAGCCCCTGGATACATTTATTTTCTCACAGTATGGACAATAGAGTTGGGCAGATGACAAGAGGCAGAAATTACAGAGGCCACTGTGTACCAGCCCAGGTGAATAAGGACCTCAGTCAAAGTAAGCTGAAGCAGGAAGACAAAGGGAGGGCCTGAAGAGAAATGCCAAGCTGGGTGTAGTGGCACATGCCTATAATCTGAGCACTCGCGAGGCAGAGACAGGGGTATCCGAAATTCAAAGTTAGCCTCTGCTACATAATGAGTTCAAGGCTAGCTCAGGCTACATGAGATCCCACCTCAAAGGAGGAGGGTCTGTATAGTACAGGATCAATGGGATCAGGTTATTGATCAGTGAGGCAGGAAGGGTGAGGCCATAGCTTGCACGTAATCAGACCTCACTGAAGAAAAGCAAAGGAGGGAAGGGAGATGAAAGGCAACCACCAAACAGAGCCACACACTGGTGACTTTCCAACCCTGGCAGCACCACGTGTAGACAGCCAGCCTTGCAGGGTTCTAGCGATCACTGTGCCCTTAATGTCTTCTATGCTGTGGTAATGGAAAATCTTACTTGGATAAGATGTAATGTGAGCAAGATGTGTATTTAACTTGAGCCCAGCAGGCGTCTCCAGGGGAGTAGGGGTACAGCACAGCTTTAGGAGCCTGAGCTTCCTGTTCAGTCATTCGTGCGCTGTTCGTCCTTAGATGTCATTCCTCTGGTCCTCTGTATCCAATCTGTGGCCACGAGACCTGGTGACTGTCAGCCAGAAGATGCTGACACACGTGGGTTTCCAGAGACATGCACAGACTCCTAATTGTACCCTGGGCCTCATGTCTACGTTTATGAGTACGGAAAGCTATAGGCACAACTTTGCTTCCTTAATGATTTTCTATTAAACATAGACTGACACAGTGCAGTGGAAAACTACAAGACGCTCGCTGCCTATCGCAGTTAGTCACTCCAAATACACACATGTGGTCTAGTAGGTAAAACAGTCAACATTCAGTCACCTCTTAGCTAAGAAAGCCAAGCTAATGGGTGGTGGGGCCAAAACAGCGTGGAGGACCTAAAGGGTGTGCTGAGGTCACTGGCCTCAGTTCCTGTCCCACTCAGCAACCCTCAGATCCACGACACTGCACAGCAGTGCTTGCTTAGAGGGGCCACTATCCAGCCCCTTGTCACACTAACAAGGTCCTAGCTGCATCATCTAACTGCCCTGCCTTCCTCTTCAGGTAGTGAAGTGGGGATGTCCCCAGTGAACAGAGTTACACAGTTTAACTGGTGACTCCACCTGGGCCCAGACTAGCGTCTACAGACTAAACAGTAAAGCAGACTTTTCCATTGGCCACAGCATGTTTCTCTTTACCACTGTGTCCTTATTGTTTACCAAAGTTCAGAGTTAACATTTTCCAAGTGACCAACCCAGTGGTAATCTGAGAAAGAGGTCATTGCCCAATGGAGAGATGAGGAAACAAAGACTTGTCCAGTTATCACAGCCCAACTTGTTTGTGAGGGACAAGGTCTCACTGCATTGCTCCAGAACCGCTGGGTTCAGGTGCTGCTTTTGCCTGAGTCTCTCTTATTTTGGCACAATGTTCTTTTAAGGGTCATTCAACTGATGGCTTATAGACTCCTATAGCAGCCTGGAGAAGGCTAAACTGGATCAAGTGTACAAATAAGATCACTTCCACCCAGAGTGATAGAGGAACAAGCTGTGGATGTCCTTAAAATGGAGCTGGCACCTGGTCTTGTAAGTTCTGCGAGCAGTTCTCTTTCTCTCTCTCTCTAAAGAGTATTGTTGTCTTTTTAAAAAAATTATATCGCTACTTAATTTTATTGTATGAATATTTTGCCTACATGTGTGTCTGTTGGCCATGTATGTACCTGGCTTCTGAGGAGGTCAGAAGGTCTCGATCCCCTGGAGCAGGAATTACAGTGAACCGCTGTGTTGGTGCTGAGAACTGAGCCCAGGTCCTCTGCCAGGGCAGCTAGTGCTCTTAACCTCTGAGCCATCCCTCCAGTTCCTTTTTTTTTTCTTTTTAGTAAGCAAAATGTTCTTTAAAGGGTATTTTATTCAAAGGAAGAAAACACCTTGAAAAGAATGCTTTGTCTCATAAGGAAATCTCTTTGGTGGTCTGCATTCAAGACAACAGAGAAATCGCACTGTTATCTGAGCAAAGTTCCAGCAGCCCATCCCCTGCTCTGTTCAATCTGGAAACAAACATCACTGCAGGCCTCAGTCTTCCATCAAAACTATGTCTAACTGCCTTCTCTCATATTACAATAATTCTCATATTAACATGTGGGTAAAATATTTAACAATAAGTAATGAAATAATGATTTCCCAGTCCTGTGCCAAGGGCCTCACTCTCGACTCTCACAATGCTATAGTTAGGGTATCGCTGTCTTCTTTTTCACAGGTGGGATACTGAAGCACATGGCTAGGGGCAGCGTACGAGCAATCCAGTCTGGCTGTGACACGCCACTCTCAACCACTCTGATGTGCCTCAGGAAGGAAGTTTCAAAGCCAACCTATGGCTTACCTGGAGGATGCTTTGCCTCTCTCACCCGCCCATCCTCCCTTCATTCACACACTGTCTACACTAGGGCAGCTTCTCTAGGAAGCTTGCCGCAAAAGCAAAACTAAACAGCAGGTGAGCTCATATCTCTCTTGTTTATCTATTTAGTTTGGAACTGAACCCAGGAGAGAGCAATTTATCTTCCTGGCATTAAACAGCTTGTAAACCCTGTACGGTCACTTTTCCCTGAAAAGCTCTTAGCCAACAGTATTCAGGGGTTAGCACATGGTAAGGAACGAACAAAGGTTTTCCTACAGTGATAAATAAAACTTCCTTTCTTTTCTTTTTTCTTTTTTCTTTTTGAGACAGGGCCTCATACAGCACAGGCTGTTCTGGAATTCAACAGCAGTGGAGACTCCATCTCGCAGGTGATGGGGTCACAGGTGTTTGTCACCATGCCCAGCTGTGTGGGAGAAAGCTACATGAGTTAGTAATGATGTCGGCCAGGAGGGGCAGCAAGGAGAAAGAGCACTGACTACTACGGGGCAATGTCAGGCGTCTTCCTGGCTGCTCTCCACCTCTTCTGTTCTGCTTTGTTTGTTTGGTTTTTAATTTATTTATTTTATGTGCACTGGTGTTTTGTTTGCATCTTTATCTGTGTGAGGGGATCAGATGCTCTGGAACTGGACTTACAGACAGTTATGAGCTCCATATGGGTGCTGGGAATTGAACCCGGGTCCTCTGGAAGAGCAGTCAGGGCTCTTAACCACTGCCAGCCCCTGCTTTGCTTTTTTTGAAACAGGGTCCCTCGCTTACTGGCTTGGCAACATTGGCTGGTCAGCAAACCTCGGGGACCTGTCTCTTCCTTCCTGGTGTCAGGATTGTGGAGACTTCCCTACGTCCACCTTTTTACATGGATACAGGGATTTAAACTTACACTTGTGTGACAAGGGCTTTACTGACTGAACTAGTCCAAGAGAACTCTTCATGGTGGTGTAGGCTTCTGGAACAGAGAGGGATGGAGTCTAGGGAGCCAAGGCCTCCACAAGCTCCACAGGCCCCTACATGTTCCAAGCTAGATGAGACAGGGCAAGGCCGGCCCTCCTTTCCCCAGAGAGAGGCTTCTTTTGGCAAGGATTCACTTGGGGACTAAAGCACAGCAGACAATACACAGCTCCAGGCTCTAAAGAGAAAGCTGCGCATCTCTTCTCAGAATGCCAAAGAATGGTTTACTTGAAATCCCAAGAATCTAGCAGAGGGCTGGCTTAGCTTGCAAAGGGGAGTGGGGCGTACAGAAAGCCACTGGACACTCAGGAGGAACCATCCTTTATCCCCGGCCCCAGCCACTTAGGAGCCCATGGCCTAGAAAAGGAGCGGCAGATAGTTTACACCTTTAATTATTCCAATAGAAACGTGTCTCCCGGGAGCAGCCAGGGGTCAGAAGTCCAGCACCAAAACTGTATATCTTTATTAAGTCATGAGCAAAAAAGCATTACAGCAGACAGTTATTAAAAGAAAAAAAAAAAAGCCCCGGTGACCAGCCGAGTAGGAGGTGTCAGAAAACTCACTCCAGATAATTTATTCCCTGAGAACCACAGAGGGCTTTCCCAAGAACAGCAAAAGCACCGTTAATTTCCTCAGGACCCTCCCTTTCAAAGAGCTCCAAACACCACACATTTCATATTAAATTGTTCTCAAAGGCTCCAAAAGAAGGGGTTACTATTTCCCTAAGTACAGATGTCGAAACTCAAGCCTTTGTGCCCACCATGCCCTGCCCAGGCCAAGCTAAGGGAGTGAGGCTGCTTGTGCCTGATCCAGGCCTCCTGGTAGAGGGTTACAAAGACCAAAATTACCACCTCCATCCCCCACAAAGATGAAAAACGGGCTCTCTATCCTCCAGAACACCAGAGTCCAGTAGTGCGCGGCAGATGCACATATATCCCCGTATGCTTATGTGGAATGCTACTGAAAAGGCCCACACGCAGCCTGAGAGCTGGTAAGCGCCCACTTACCAGTGCCTAACACGTTCCGAGCACTGTACTATGTTATGTTGTTTAAGTCGTCCAGCAATGTGTGACCAATACAAGAAGGAATGGATGCAAGAAGAGTAAAGAGATTTGCTGAGGGCCCTAAGGCTACCTGGGGCAGAGACATGATTAGAACCCAGATCCATCCAGTGAGGAAGTCCTGGAGCTGCTAAGTGACTGATTAGGAAACTAGAAACTGACCTGTGGGCTTTTCAGCATGCACACAGAGAGAGGTGCCCTGCACTGGGCGGGGCCTGTTGCCAGGTCCAGAACACAGATGCATACATTAATAGAGTCTTTCCATCATGGGGACAGCTCCAGTGTCTTTCCAAAGGGAACAGAACACTTTCTGGGCAAAGAAGTTCTGAGAAGTCCTGAGCCCTTCTTGTTCTTTTGTGGGCACTGTAATGGACCAAGAAGGACCAAGAATGTCTTCAAACGGGTGGCCAGCTGTAAAGGCCTCTGCTCGGAGACAGACTCCTGCTGGGGCAGGGCCCTTTGTTGGCCATCCCTGAAGAAGGGCACAGGGTGGTGACAGCGCTGCAGAATTTGCCTAATAGCTGTAAGCTCCACCAAGAAAGAAATGGCAGACTTGGAGGAAAGAGAGCAGCAGGCCACAGTCCCCAAGCCAGAAAGACTACTGAAAACCATGGCCAGTCATGAGGACTGGCTGAATCCTAATAACAGGGAGACAGATGAAGGAAGGAGTTTTAAAACCATAATCTCAACCTAACAAAACCCTAGGTGGAACCAGCCCGCACTTAACACCAGCAGCTTGCTCTGCAATCTTAGGATCCTTTCATACAGCCATCAACACACACTATGACTCATTCGCTCGCTCTATTATTATCACTTATGTTGTACCTACTTCCAGGAGACGTTCGACTTAACTTAAAAAGCCTAGAGGATAGCTAAAAGGACAGAGGTCTTGAAGCAGACAGATCTGGCCTGTGACTCTAGTGGCCACAGGCACACGGTTTCTCGTCTGCCTTGGCTCAGCTCAGCTGTAAGCCACTGATGGATTCAAGGCTACCCAAGCTCGTCTGCAGGATAAGAGACGACAATGACTGCAAACTGCCCGGCAAACGGTTTGGCTCCTCCACAGTATACATCTAACTAAAACAAACGCCAAAGAGGTAAGGAAAAGAGTGTGCAAGAGAAAGGGACCAGTGACCAGTTCAATCCACGTATCTAAATAAGGGAAGCTCTGGATTCCTGGGAGTCACAGGAAAAGCGAAGCAGGATTATTACTCTGTTCTTGTCGTTAATGAAGGAAGCCTGTAACTCATCAGGACAGAGAAAGTGCGGAGGTTCTGTATCCTCAAGTAAATGCAAATGTGTGTGCATATTCACACACGCACACACACACACATACACCCCTTCTCTCCAGCAGGAAGAGGGTGAATGGCTCCCCAGAGCCCTGCTGCCCCTCTGACACCACACAGCTGTTGCCGCCAGTGAAGTACTGCAATAGTTAAAACATTTTTGTGCCAATATTTTAAGAGTGCAGAAGGTTCCAAATTACATGTAAAATAAACAATGCCAGACTGTGAAAACTCTTGGCTACAACGCTCTCTGATGTTAACAAGAGTTCCTTTATTACTGTAACCTTTCAGAAGAGAATAAAAACCATTTCTCTGCCCTAGTTTTGCCCTCCAGTAAAAGTGGAGGGAGCAGTGACCATGGAAAGAGCTGTACAGTGACCCCTCCTGAAGGCTGGGGGTTGGGAAGAGCAACTGAAAACAAAGCCTTCCATATAGATTTCTTTTCCAAAGTAAAAAAAAAAAAAAAAAAAGCTTTTTTTTTTGAGGGTGTGTATGCATATGTAGAGGTCAGTGAACAACTTGCAGAGAACTTAGGTTCTCTCCTTCCACCATGTGGGTCCCAAGGACAGAACTCAGGTCGTTAAGGCTGGTAGCCAGTGCCTTTATCCACTGACCCATTTCACCAACCCTGTCTTCCATATATTTTCTAGCCAGCTGTTAAACATTTAGTTTGGGCTGTGGATCATATTATACAATGTCACATTGCTAACTTTTGTATGTGACAACTTAAAACACATACAACATTTGTATGTGACAGGTAGAGGCACAACAGAGCCTTTGGGGAAGCCCAAACCAAGCTAATACTATGAAGAAAATTAAGATCTAACCAAGACTCCTCAGTGACTCTCCTTACTCAGAAACTGAGTCTGAAGTGCTCTCAAAACAAAGAAGAGGCCAGATGTGGTGGTGCAAATCTGTAGTCCCAGCACTGGAAAGGCAGAGGTGGCAGATTGCTCTAAGTTTGAGGCCAGCCTGGTCCACGCAGAGTCCAGGTCAGCCAGGCCTACAGAAAGAGACCCTTTCTCAAGACAAACAAAACCCAAAACAAGGAAGAGGGTTTGTGTGTGGCCAGTACTCAGGACAAAACACAGTAGTGTACAGACCCCTAGTCAGTGAGTGTGTAAATATCAGACAGAGGGATCAAAACAGCTGGATAAAGGGAAGCTGCTTTCCCCGCCACAGAAAAGGAAGGACAACAAATGAAGTCAAACACTGCCCTCTCAGGCCACTCTGCAACACTAACTCACCCAAATGTCATCTGAGTGGTCTCCTCTGGCATTCTCAGCCGCGTAACCATTGTAATTTCTCGGTATTATAACTGTGTTTATGTTTGTCCTCTGCTAGACTAGGAAGTCTTAGTCATTCTTTTATCTCTGTGTTAACATAGTAGCTGGAAGCCAGCAGGTCACAATACAATCAATAGATAAGGAAAATTTTGTGTTTGATGAACTGCTGTTTAAAACAACAACAACAAAAAGCAGAACATAAGCTCTGGGCCACAACAAGCTTTGTAGTCCTCTCAAAAGCATAAGGTTGGGTCTGGAAAAGAATGTAGAGATTACCTAACTTACCTCAGAGACTCGAGGGGACCTGACTTACTCAGGCTGTAACCGGACAGTGACCAGGCTGGCTAGACCGCCCTCCTTCAACCGCACCCACACCACCCCTTCATTAGCCTGAAATGGTAGTATACATGTTCATTTGCTGGGAGGATGAGAAACATGATTGAAACAGCATATTCTAAGAACGCAATCTCACTATAAGTAAATGGGGTCACAGTAAGGGTTCAAAGGCCAAGAGGAACGAGTGTGTGTACTATTCTTGAAGAGGACCCAAGATCAAGTCCCAGCACCCATGTCTAGCAGCTCACAGCCATCTGTGACTACAGTTGCAAGGGCATCCGACACCCTCTTCTGGCCTCTTTTGGCACTGCACTTAAATGTACACAAACACAGACACATGATTCAAACTAAAAAATAATATATAAACAAACTATGGATATCATGCTAGGAATTGATTCACTTGATATAACAATATTGGGTTCCCACTAAAGCTGTCAGACAGTTACCACTGGAACAAGTTAATCCCAAGAAAACAGAAACATGTTCAGACAAAACTCAGCCCAAATGTCCAATGTGAACAACTGTCCAAAAACAGAAAAAGCAAAGCATGCTACAACACAAACAGACCTTGAAAACATACTCAGTACAAAGAGGCAAACGTCAAAGGCTGCATATTCCATTACGTTCTGTCGGCAGTGTGCTGAGATGAAAAGCTCAGAACGGGTGCAGCCAAAGACACGGCAAAGGGGCGGCGGGGGAGGGGGCAGAGAATGATGCCTATGAGCACAGGGGTTCTTTCTGAGGTGGGGGGAACATTCTGGAATTAGTGCTGTGGGCATGTAACACTGTGAGTTAAGTAAAACCACCACCTATTCATTGTGCACGTGTGTAGTGAGCATGTGCCACAGCTACATGTGGCTTGCAGAGGTCAGAGGCTGACTTGTGGGAGTCAGTTCTCTCCTTCTCCTACACGTGTGCCCAGGGTCAATGCTCAGATCATCAGGCTCAGTGGCTGAGCCACCTCATCAGCCAAAAAACCACATTCAAAATGTTGAATGTTGGAAGAATTATGCATCCATTTTTTGTTTAATGAAAAAATGGGGGGCTGGAGAGATGGCTCAGTGGTTAAGAGCATTGCCTGCTCTTCCAAAGGTCCTGAGTTCAATTCCCAGCAACCACATGGTGGCTCACAACCATCTGTAAAGAGGTCTGGCACCCTCTTCTGGCTGTCAGGCATACACACAGACAGAATATTGTATACATAATAAATAAATAAATATTAAAAAAAAAGAAAGAAAAAATGGAATTCCTCCTTCTAGGAGCTAACAACATAATGGGAGGAGACAGGAGCAGTGATGCGTAAGGATGCATCAGGACCAGT